AGATATGGACTACAATTTCTTATATAAAAAAAGAAACAGCTCAAAAAAAAATCTCCTGTCCACTCACTATGGAATAGTTCTGCTATTTTAGTAGTGTTCCTTTGAATCAGAAGTTTCAAAAAGCTGCTTCAATACAGTGAACCCCTCTAATATGAGGTTAGGGTTTACAAAAATCATTAAGGAGAGAAGAACCCATTTCCAAATCTATGCAGCTTTTTTCCAATGTCCCATGGTTAATTATTTCTAATTTTTTTAGTTGCCTCCTATACAAAATCTGAACTTCCTCCTTCTCAACTCTCTAGTGTCTCTTGAAGGCAACACTGTTTACAGTATTTATTACATTGTCCTCTTGGCCTGTTCAGGATTGGAATTTAGTGGCTCTACTGCCATTCTACAACTGTACCAGGACGTAGTCCCTGATACGGCCATGGAATCTTACTAAAAATTGTGAAGACCTGTGGCTCAATTTCTCTGCCAGTTCCTATCTCCCTAGCAAATAAATTCTGGATTGCATGCACAGCAGGAAGACTGCTTTTGCCGCACCAATTACTTCATTCTGTGGGCATGTAGGTGCTTGCCCCTGGAATCATCTGCATGGCTCTTAGAATACAAAAAATGGTGTTATAGCTGGAACAAATGCATTCTAGGATTCATCTAAAAACTGCTGACTGCTGAGGTAGTGTATAAAAGCAGAATGCCAAGTATGAGGAGACATTTTAACAAAAAAAAATCACTGTTGTGGAAAATAGCAAAAGAATAACAGCAACTTTAGTCAATGAAGTCTAAGGATACTGAATTCTTGTTTACTAAATGGACTTATTATTTAATAATTTGTATTAAAAATCCTCGGGTACTCTACGCTGAAAGCAGACACAATAATTTGAGGAACTCACAAAAAACTGAGGTTTAAGATGTCCTTCAAGTTGTCTCCCCTCTTTATGTTGCTTACAATAACAGTTTTATATTATGGTTTCTATAATTTTATATATTAAATGATCTTAATCTATACCTTTACATATTTTATGTATTAAAATATTTGTATCCCACATTTCCTCATGGCTGGGAGTGTTTTACATATCACAATTTAAAACATACAGAATCAAATAAAACCACAAATAATCCTCATGCCTAAAAATAGCTGCAGTCTACACTCCATTAAAAGTTGTGACATATAAAATGGTCCTACAAACATTTCTAGAGCTGGGATCCCCTACCAACACCACCTGAGGGAGCCTGTTTCACAGAGCAGGAGCTACAATAGATGCCAGGTGGGATACCATACGTATGAGAATAGCCAACAGCTGGCATTCTGAGGATTATATCTGGCACAGGGTGGGGGAAGAGATGAGCCTTCAGATATGTGGATCTGGGCCACGAAGGGCTTTAAAGGTCATAATCAGCACCTTAAACTCAAATCTGAAACAAGCAGGCAGCTAGTGCAGTTGTTTTAGAATAGGTGGATCATCGCTGTCACCTATTCCATGGCAATAATTGGCCTGCTGCATTTTGAACTGGTTGAACTGGGTTGTCTTCAAGAGCAACCCATCACAGAGCGCACTACAGCAAACCAGCCATAAGGTTAACAAGCATTGATTGGCCTGGACAGATCAGATGAGCTGGCAAATCAAATGCAGTTGACAGAAGACACTCTTAATTGCATGTTTACCCTGCCCTTCCTCCAAGGAATTGGGGATGGTGAACATGATTCTCCCATTTTATCCTCACAATCACTTTGTGAGGTAGTTAGAGAGAGCTTGTCCAGCTCAAGGGCTTCCAGTGAGCTTCAAGATTGGAGTTTATGTCTCCCCTTTCCTAGTCTGACACTCCAACCACACCACCACCCTGATTTTCCTTGATCTCATCATCCTTGCTAAACTTACCTTTAGGTTAAGTTTTAAAAGCAGTTGTTAATGTTGTTTTTAACCTCTCTTCACTAGATGGAAATATAGTTTCCTTAAGAGGATTCTAGAAAAATACCCTTGGTCAGCACTATCATTTGTACAGGGTCAGTTACACACTTTGCCATCTGCTCGAATTTATTTTGTTCTGTAAGTGGCTATATATACATATAGGACATATAAGGCAAACTGTAGCCTCTGGTGATATATCTGATAAGGTACCTAAGTTAAAGTACCTTAGGAAGTAAGGAAGGAATACAAAAACAGAGCTGTAAAGTCACCTCAGATGACTTGGGCAGTGGGTGAGTCATTCACACTTTCTACATACATTTCTCAAAAGAAATCTGTTACACAGCCAGACACATGAACTAGGAAACTATTAAGAAACAATGACTAATAGGAAATGGTCAAGATATATTTTCCCAAATATGCATCAAAATCAAATATGAAACTTTTTATAAATGTATATTTAGAAGCAACATTATCTATGTATCTATTTCTATCAAGCACCATAAAATTTCTGGAGGTTAATGAGGATCCCTTAAACTGAATCAAAACAGTCAATTATCTAATTAAATGAAGCATAAGACTCAAGGAGTTTCTTAAAAGCTAGTTCATAACCAACCTTAGGACACCTCGGTGATATTATGATGTGTACCACCTGCCAGACTCCTTCCCCAAAGCTTCTAAACAGGATTGATAGAAAAATATTCAACTGAGCATTGCAACAAATAGAGATACAGCCCAGCAAGTGATACTTTACTCCAAGGAGTATAAGGAGAGTTAAATCTCCATACATGCTATTAGAAGTTATATTTAATCAAATGAAAGTGAAAGCAACAAGGGACAGAGAATCCAGCTACTACCAAACGTCTCATTCAAAGCTACTGTGGGAGCTCAAAGGTCAAAGATCAAAACCACATATGTAACTAAGTCCATGGCAAGCATCTTATGAGTAACCATTAAATGGCACCTGCCGTGAGAAATAGTAAATCACAATCAAATCGTTATCATTAGAATTAAAAGAGCTTTGATGGCTCACAAGTAATAAAAACTGGAAAAGGGGGGGGGACTTAACCCAGGATATGACTACGAACCAAAAAGGGCTAAGCTAAACCATATATATAAAAGTACAAATATTTATTAAGCTATACACATGTTAAAAACTCTCCTGATTAAAAATTACTTTGTCTAAGATCAGACTATAAAAGCTTATACATACATATGATGGGTAAATAATTTACAACTGAAGACCAAACGCGTTTCGGCCCCTAAGGGCCTTCCTCAGTGGTCACTATTATCTATATATTCTAGACACACATTAAAAAACCTGTTACAGAGTTTTAGTACACATATAATTTAACCAGATGTTGTTTCCTTGTATACTTATAACTGGACTCCTGGTATTAGTGATGGGCCATAGGTATAGCCATATCACCTCCACAACTTATTCTGGTAACAGCGATTTTGTAGGTCTGAATGTGTGTCACTCCATCAAGGAGAAAAAAAGGAGGAGTTAAAATGTTTTTAATTTCAAGACGCTATGCGTTAAATTAGGATGTCTGAAATTTTTGTGAGGGCAAGTGGATAGTAAAAAATTTATGAGCTTCAAACTTTTTTTTCTTTAAAAAAATTAAAGACTTCAAACTTTTGTGGACTTGCAAAATTGTTAGAGACAAAGCATTTAAAAGGTCTGCTCTTGCTTACATCCAGAACTAGTCTAAGTTTATAGTAACTGGCATGTCTTGAGCAAAAGGTATGTATAACCTTTTTGTCCAGCCTGTTACTGTCTCACAGTGACAGCTGACAAAGACATAAAAGCACTTCTAATTCATAAAGTATTTCTTTAATCTTTTTGAACTATTTCAACAGAGAGAGAAATTAAACTGTAGTGAATTACTGCCACTGCATTATGTTAATTTCCTAGGGCTGCCAGGTCCCCCCGACCACCGGCAGAGGACCGGGGGGGGGGGGTTGCCAGCTCCAGGTTGGGAAACTCCTGGAGATTTGCAGATGGCATCTGGGGAGGACAGGAACCTCAATGGGGTACAAAGCATCCATTTTCTTCAGGGGATCTAATCTCTGTAGTCTGGAGATGAGCTGTGATTCCAGGGGATCCCCAGGTCCCACCTGGAGGCTGGCATCCCTATAATTTCCACAATATGTTAAGTCAAGCAAATTATCTATAATCAATACAGAAAAGATCTGGAGCCAGTAATAGACTCAGGTTCTGGGATATAAGAGATAAAACATCTGCAGCTTTGTTTGCAGTGCCCCAAGGGATTTAACTGAATATAAAAATCACAGCTACCTTAAAAATTATTATTATTATTTTTATTCACAAAAAAACAATTTTACCTGCTCTTAAGTACTTTGGCTATTCAGTATATAGTGTGCATCACAGTCCAGTGACAAGATGTGTAAGAACTCACAACAAATAATTTGTCAGGGGCCACTGTGAGGAAACATGCAAGGTCTCTGCAATTCACAAAGCTTTCCAGCTTGCTTCTGTGAAAATAAGAAGCTTTTTGCTTGTGCAAATGTACATATAAGCCAGCTAATGAGACAACAGTTTATGTTCAAGTAAAGCTACCAATCCAGTTAAAGATGACAGCATTACAGAAACATGAGATCCATTTAATATAGGAATTTAGAAACAAAGATCAGGATAACTAATAAGAAAGATGTATAGACTCAGTTCTTTTGCAATATTGTATTAAGTGCCGTAATCGCTAATCAGTTTATACACTCTGCTATGTACACTAGTATCACTATGTAGTAGAAAGAATACATTTCATTTACTTTGCATACTGATTAACTGAAAAATTCTCTCTCAAAAGCTATAATGGAACTTGAATTGTAAACATTCAACTTATGATTTAGTTTTCAGAATGAAACACCATTAAGTGATTTAGACAATTTACAGCTGAAGATTCCTCAAGAATAATATGCTATAAACTATACACTGTTGTAATCATAAAACATGACAGAAAGCCCTCCCGCAAAGAAACCTATTATTCAAATGAGACTACTCTAGGGCAGAAACTATGGGTTTTAGTAATAAACAAAAGCAGAATCCATGGTTACCATAGTTACACATACTCTTTGTTGTGTTTCAATGCCACATGATCTGATTCAAAGAAATACACATCAGGCTCTTCCTCATCATCCTCTACAGCATGAAGATTGGCACTCTCTTTGGCAGATGGTAAGGATCCAGTAACAAGTCTAGCCTCTGAAGGTGGTTTGCTTAGTCTTTCATCTACATAGTCCCCAGAGTCACAAACTCTTTCTTTCTCATTCTGAATATTTTCTGTGTTTATAGTAGATCCATTGATATTAGTAATACTCGAATCTACATTCTTCCCAGGGGCACTATGATTGATTTCCTCAAGCTGTCCATTTTCTCTACATGGAGAATTATTTTTAGTAGGGCTACCTTTGGCTGAGCCTACCCTCCATGGTGAAGTTCTCAGAGTATATCTGTGTTCTTGAGGTTCGGATGCTGATGTAATTTGGGTTGAAACACAGTCCAACACAGAAACTGGTGGTTCAGGTTCACCTGAGATTGATGTACTGTCAAGACAGTTGTCTACATTGCTGTTGGTATTTTCAGCAGTCTGTTCCTTTGAGGCACTACTATCCCCTACCACATCTACTTCCTCCTCAGAATCCCTTAATAAAGATGACTGGATTTCAGAAAAGGACCCTGTACCCGTACCTGACTCATGTGCCTGATTAACAGGTTCCTCAGGCAAAGAGTTGTTTAATTGTTTGTGGTCCTCTAATTTTAACTGTTCTTGTGAGTTTGTGCAAGGCACACTGTGGTCTACAAAACTGTCCTCCTTACTTCTGTTAAGAAAAAATGAAGAATGGGCCAATGAGCCATTTTCTGCTACAGATTTTTCCTTGGATGAAGAGGAATCAGCATTGTGCTGTGCAGAATTCCCATCAGGTTGACAGTCACACTTGATGGCATCCGAGCCTCTCCCATCAACCCCATTGACAGTCTGACAGCCTATGAGTTCTTCAGATACTGAACTGTTACACCTTTCTGTACATGCATTCACTTTTTTAACTTCCCTTTTATCACTATTGTCCAATATAAGATATCGACAAGCTCGTTTAGTCCCTGGAGAGACTGCAACATTGTCCGGTAGTGAGCTTTTGCGCTCCAATCGTTCCTTTCCTGTTTTAGAGAGCAGCACTTCTTCTGAACTATTTTGTGCCTCTGAGCGTAGACAGCGCTTAACTCGCTTTAAAACTGGTGAGACAGGTTCCAATTGCTTCTTCTCGCAGTTCTCCACAATCTGTCGGTCAACACTATCCTTTTCTGAAGTAGACAGTCCTCTCTTTCTAGGGCTTACCCATAATTCCCTAGAACTTTGCTGCTTTATATCATGTGTTCGTCCACTGTTACTTCCCTTCTGTGTATGCAAAGATTCTGGTTTCTTCTTTGGAGATCTGGATCGTACTTGTGGGAGAGAAGAAACTTCCTCTGGGTGAGCGATGCTACGATTTCTTAAAGTTCTGCCACAAAAATTTTCATCCAAACCATTTAACCCCACTGTTGATCTTGTGACACGAGTAGATCGAGAAGCAGCCATACTATGGCAAATCCCTAAAGTATGTTCCTCATGATCCACTCATTCGGAAACCTTCAAAGAAATAAACAAGACAATGAGAAAAAGCATCAACTATAGCAGAAATTAGGCTATCATTTATATCGTACTACTTAATGGGGATCACTATTATTGTAGCTATCTTATTCTAATATTAGGACAATCATCTAATATTTTTACTGTAGGTTTATAGTACTAAATTCATCATTATAAACACTGATTATTAACACTCCACAGAAAATGCACTGGACTCATTAAATGAAAACTTTTTTGTACAAAAACATAACGTTTTTATAACTGTATAATCTTAATGAAGTAAAAGAAAGTCACTTGTACTTCTAATGCATTAAATTATGCTACAAAGCTCCTATCAAGCTTCAATAACAATGTTCAATTTATAATTCAAAACCTAGATCCTAACATCTATAGAATAAAATATTTGCAAGTGATGTAATAATACATCATTTAGTGATACAATCAAGGCAACAAGCACATGCAAATAAATTGGGGTTTTTACACTCTGCTTAGACAGGGCTTTTCTTCTGGGGGAATGCACCAGAATGGAGTTCCACAACCTCTTCAACAAAATTCTTTAAAAAATGTTTTAAAGTTATGAGTTTTCAGTATACAGATTAAAAACTTAATTTCCCTCTTGAGAGTAGATTCTAGCACCTCTTGGAAGGGAGGAAGGGAGGGAGGGAAGGGGGGGGGGAGGGAGGGAGGGGTAAAAAATGATAAAAGGAGTGCTTGTAGTTAAGAAATGCTGTCTACCTCCGATTTTCCACTAGAACTCTTAACCAAGCACACTGGAATCTCCTAAAGTTGCAAGACGTTCCCTCTTTCAGAAAAGATGTGCATTTCAATACTATTCAGGGGCTGAAGCAAGGCTTTATTTTAATGCATCCATTTACTTCACATACAACATACAACTCCACATACTTTGCATATGACATTCATATATTTGCATATGACATGCATCCTTCAATATGGATGTATTCAGGGTGTTTAGGCGTGTTCTTGCACTAGTTGCAAGAAGGATTAGATCAAATGGTATGGGATCTTAGTTAAAATCTATTGGCTATGTTCTAACTTGCTATTGCTTTTATATAGATTCTGATCAGTAGTATTCTTGTAATACTGTGAATTCTGCTAATTTGTTTTAATACTGTTAAATTGTTGACCTATGATCAATACAATAAAATCTACATCTACCAATTAGGAAGATCCTCAGATGTTGTACCCACTTCCATAGTGTTACAAGAGAGACTAGAGCAAAACGACTCCTTAAAAAACATCGTCCATCAGGAGGCAGAGATGCATGATGACAAGATAGACCTCAGGTTCGTAGCCACAGAAATGATTTTTCAAAACCTGAAAGTTTGTCATTATTAAATGATGTAGTAAGAAGTCACCACCCCTTATACTTTTCTTCCATTTTTCAATCCTGAATTCGTTTTTTGCATTTTTTATAATGATCAAGTAATTTCCTTTGAATGTATAAGGTATTATATCTTTTTATAAGGTGCCACTGTTGAATCCTTCTTTTCATAATTTTGCATTCATTATCAAACCATTTATTTCTATTCAATACCTCAAACATATTCTTGTATTCATATGGGTGTAGTAAAAAGGCTCGAGTACAATATCATATAGTAACTTGATGGAAGACTTAACCAAGTTAACTCTGGAGGGTTCATATTTAATAAATCCAAATTCTGCCGAATCAACATTCTACTAATGTTCTCTCCTATTTGAGGGAGTAATAAAAACAACAGATTTAATTACCCTGCTGCAACAATTGTCCTTGTTCATTTAACAGAAGGCAACCCTCAACAGGTAGCATCAGACTAAGGGGAAAAGGTAGATGATCCCTGTATAGAAATATTGATTTCTGCTTTCTATAATCCATGCCTTCTCCTGTGATTACATTCTGATAACATGCTGTGCCTTGTTTCCTCTTGCTAGCCACATGGTAAGGCCAAATGGCCTAAATAGCCATGCCATAAACCCACATTCTTTCACACTTCCATGCCAAACGCCAGACCTCATGGCTACACTTTCTGGCACCACATGCGACAAGTCATGTACTAAATGAAGTAGCTGGAAGCTGGGTCAGTTCTATAGTGACTTCCCGGAATGACCTGGAGATCTCCCGGAATGGGCGGGAGATATTGATATATATATTTTTTGAGAGGGCAGTATGTCAGCTATGCTGCCATGGGGGTTGGGATGGTCAGACAGCATCAGTGTAATTGCTCTTGCATTCCTTTCTGTGCTTTGCGCTGAAACACTTATATGTCAAGACATGCAGGTGAGGGTTGTAGTGTCTGCCTTTTCCAGGGAGCCGTGGGAGAATACAAGTTCCCAGCTTCGGCTAGAAACAGTTTGCAAGCTTTATCCCGTGTGTGGGAGGGTGCCTGATTGGCCAGTGCAGTGTGGGGGGGGGTGCATACAAATACCCTATATCTTATTATGTCCAAGGGGCAACTGCCATTCTTAACAGTGACTATGTTAATGCATCTATAGCTCTTCAATAAAAGTATTACCTTTCCTGAAAGCGTGTACTACGTTGTTGGCTGTGGGTTCTGACAGATTCTCATTCAAGCCAAAAAAGAAAAAATAGCTTCTAGTAAAGAGAAGCGATCCCTGCCCAGTTACAAAGGGAAATAGCTTCTAGAAAAATAGGAGTAATCCTTGGACTGTGTATGAAGAAGCATTCTGGGAACTTGGTTGTATGTTCCTGTCTTCTGAACTCTATATGGTGGTGAAACTCAGAAACCTATGCTTGAGTGTTTAAGCAGAAACTGAAAAGAAAGCCTCTCTCCTCAAAGGTTTAAAGACCTTGTTGAATAGCAGAAACACTTACTTGTTGGCAACAAATTATCTGGTGTTTGTGTGAATACAAAGTTACCTCAGTTTTATCATCTGTTCATCTCATACATCCTCCACCTGATTCCACCTGGCCTTTTATCCTCAAAATTAAATGGAACATTTTGTTTATTTTGAGCTTTCGAAAGTCTCTTGTGTTCCATTTCAGAAGAGGAATATCAGAAGGTGATTTTGTCTCTTCCCTCAGTTCCCTGGTCTGGGCCAGCGTAAATAAATAAATAAAGTGACTAGGTGAGACAGCCATAGACAAACAAATAAGAAAATAGATAAAGGGGCCGCTCAGCAAGAAAGTAGACAGAAGGGAAAATCCTGAGTGTGAGGAAGGGACGAGGGCAAGATTGTCATAGTGTCCTTAGCACATCTACTTGTATGTCTTCTAAAAAATGGAAACTGGGAGAAAATACCTGGAGCCTATTATTCAGTGCAGATGACTACAGGCCACTATGAGCATTCCTGACCTCTGACAGATGGTCTGAAAATCAGGTGCTTCACTGGGCTATTTCTCCTAAATTGATGACTAAGCCGGACAGCCTGCACATCAATATTCCTGCTGATATGCAATGAAGAAACTGATAGTACATGATATTCTGTTCAGGTCAGCAGCAGGGAGCTGATACAGACTGCTGGACCTGGTTCCCCCTGCCTGTTCATACACACCTCTGCCATCTGCTCTCACAAACACATTTTGACATCTATGTAAAAAGAGACTACTGGTAGCCAAATCATCCTCAATTCCAGTCAGCTTATACTTTGTTTTTGTTCTTTCTACGGAGAAGATGACTGGCACCTAAAAAAGTGGAACAGGCACTTTAATCCTGCATTTGTAAGCAATCGTTCCCCCATGAAACAGTATCTTGTGTGTAGAGTGTTGTCAAGTCATAGCTGACTTATGGTGACCCCAGCAAGGGGCTTTCAAGGCATGTAAAAAGCAAAGGTGGTTTGCCTTCCTCTGCAAAGTCTTCCTTGGCAGTCTCCCTTCCAAGTTCCAACCCTGCTTAGCTTTCAAGATTTGACAATCCGATCCAATTTAGGAATAAAATGCAAGCATAAATTAAAAGATACATTAAAATATTAAAGCATCTATAAATGTTACTTATTCTAAGTAGTCATGACAAATTACCTTTAGCATCAGAACCAGGAGATATTATATATTTAAACACTAATTACACTTGCCACTAGCATGCAAACAAAGAACCTGCTCTACATGAAAAGCAACTATTTTCCTCAAGCAAGTACTTTGCGTAAGACCTTCACATGGAGGAAAACCAAAATGCCTACCTTCATGCTGCACTATTACTTATGCAAGGGCTTGCACATCTGTGCACAAAAAAAAGCATGAGTGGCCCAGTGTCTTGCATAAACAGCCCTCTAGATCACATGTAGTTCCATAATAATGACCAAAGATGGAAAGCAGACAGTGTGACACAATAATGCTGAGGAACTATCCAACAACCTCCAGCTCCCAGCAGTTGGTGCTACCTCCCAGATTACACAGCACAACTCAAGTGTCATTTTCAGTGGGTTTAAGTTCACAGGTGATCCTATCCCTTTCTTCAGGTTCCGGGGCAGAGCAAATAGCCAATATATATATCACTGGCACAGGGTGGGACAGCCAAAGTTTCTTCAGGGAAGAAGAAAAGACATTACCATGGCTGCTAAGTCAGTGAAGGGACAGAAAAATGGAGGGAAAATCTATCCTCTGAGGGAGGGAAGTGGATGGGGTCCATCATAGTTACATTTCTAGTGGTAAGCCATGGTTGTGGATAGATTTCAACAGAATTTAATTTTCATCCATGAACACCATTGGGGTACCACGTCAAACTGGAGAGTGCAATAGTCCTTCCATTGTGAGAAGTGTCCCTCTGTGGCCTTACAGGCCACTGCAGCGGGACTGGCGCTACTGGCGCCGAGCTCCCCGCAAGTCTCAGGATGGAAAGGCGGGCTCGGAAGCTTCGAAAACCTCGAACCGCGTCCTCAACGCCCGCAACAGGGCAGGAACAACATGAACGGGAAGAGGTTGGGGAAACTAACTGGCACAAGGCGCGAAGGGGGAAGGGCACGGGTGAAGGAGCGGGACAGATGGCAAGGTCCAGCCTTACCCCCAAAGAACGCTGACACCATACTCCGGGAAACGCCGACGTCAGGAA